TGAGGACAGACTATAATTATTCAGTGTTCAAAGTATCCAAGGGGCGCTCGGTTGCCTGCTGTTGAGAAAAGTTTCTGCAAACCCCTCACAGCTCCAGGAAGCGCACCACACTGTCCGACCCTCCACGCTATGCTTTGCTCCCGTCAGCTATCGGCAGCGTTTAGATGCAGCCGCCCATCAAATGAACCAGTACAGGAAAATACCGTCCCTCGGGGTATTGATCTTTTGGCAGAAAGGGGCCACCTCTCTCCCCTGTTGCCCTGTTCAAGTGGGGAGGCTTCTCGCAAAGGCACGGTGGTGGCACGGGGAGCTATGCTAGTCCAGACAAACATGAAGACCAGGTGCACAACCACTGTCAGGCAGCGAGGGAGAAGCCTTGATCTTGGGAATCTAAGCAAACACCGTGCTGAGCTGAGAGAAAGAATGTGGTAAAAGACGAAAAAATCCTGGGAAAAATACAAAGGAAACAAAACAGATGGAGGAAAGATTGTACCAAAATGGGTGCAAGAATAAGAGGCTTAGACCAAACGTGGCAGCCCATGAAAGATGATTGAATTCGGAGCAAATTATGGCCAGTGAAGTAATTAAATATGGAGGGAGGAACAAAACTAAGCAGGAACTGTCAGACTTGCTGCTGGTTAAAGATTTTATTAGTTGAACCAGTTGCGTAGGAACTGAAGACCTTTCACTGATGCCAGGGGAGGAGAGCGCTGATTTGAGAAGAGAAGGTGCTGACGGATTCACTGAGCCCAAGGTAGCAAAAAGGTCAATGAAAGAAACTGTGGCAGAGGCCACGTTTAAAAAAAACCCCCACAAAACCACCAAAACCCAAGGAGAATAGGTGAAAGGAACATCACAGGCACAACGTGTCTATATCACTGTAACTCCAGAGAAGGCAGTTGGGTAGCACCCACTGATCATCCTGGCCCTACACAGCTGCACTCTGTAATGTCTGTAATGCCATACATCGCTTAGGAAGCCCACGGCCCGAAGTATTCCCATCATCCTTTCCGGCTGTGGAGTACATGGGCTAATTAAGGATTTAGGTGCTTTTTGCTATGGCTTTGTATTTCCATGTTATGGTTTCTCAGGTAATTCATAAAAGCAATTTCATTCGTTCCTGTGATCTGTAGTTGTAACAAAATAACAGGAAAAATCTGCCAGATTTACTTAAGCTGATACCAAGGACAAAACACAGGATGTTCAATACATATTCCTCTTCCTTTTATGGCTGCGGTTATAAGGTTAAGAAAGCTCGGAAATTTGCAGTGCCATCAGTATCAGCTTTGAAAGCACTTAGTCCCATGAAAAACCTGGCCAGAATTTTTCATACTTTCAAGAAAATGAAAGCGAAAAAGAATTTCATAATTTTGACACAGCTCACTCATTTTGCCATGGGCCTGGGTCCTCAGTGATGCAACTCCTGGGGAGTACACTAGCAACAGATTTGGCTCCTCTCAGTTTGAAACAACTGACAAATCCCGTAATATTCTGGCTGGAGTAAACAGCTGGCATGTATTACTTCCAGTGCAAACACTGAATGTAATTTGTCTCCCTCCAGGGTAATTTTATTAATGTATGCTAGCTTGCTTTAAACCCCAAGTTCTGTACTTTTCATAACAGGATATAAATCACTCCACTAATGACAAATAAAAGGAGACATATACGAGGTGCTCATACTGATGTCAATTGATTGTGGTAAATCTGTGAATCAATGTGTGACATGGGAGAGCTAAAATAAAATTCCAAGCTTTGCCGACTAACCAATCTAGAGAATATAAATGCATTTCATTTCAAAACACATTCTTTTATCTAGAGGGATGTAACGCAGCCCAGTCCCAATCAAAACATTACTGTTTCCTTCTCCAAAACTTTCAGGAAAAACACTGTGCATCCTTTCAGACACAGGAGCCATTGGCACAGAACTGGAAGCATTCTGATAAGAAAAATCTCTCCTTCCTTTCATAATTTCCAAATCAGAAGCCATCTAGCTGAAAAAAAGCTGCAAACACTGTAAAAAAAAAAAAAAATCCCCTAAAAATCTCTGTTCTTGCTGCATTTAAATGGAAACTTCCTTAGAAAGTAAATGGCCAACATTGTTTTCTGCTATCCTGGAATGAGTTACACCAGGTAACACTGGCTGTAAGCAGGCAAAGGAAGGCAACCACCAAACTGACCAAGGGAATTGCTGCACAAAGTGACTACAGCCTGCACGGGAAACAAGAGAGGCTCTAAGGAACCTGGAATGCGCTCTGGGCAGCAAAGCGGGGCCACAAAATTCAACTATAAGGTCAGAAATTCAGAATGATCCTGGCTTACACGCTGTAATAGCACAAAGTCAGAAAATAAATAACTGCAGGACAGAGTAACACTGGCATTCCTCCCTATACCTCTGTTTTCAGGTGAGCATGAGAAGAACGTGAGCCGAGAGTACACCACCTATATCACAGAAGCAAGCAGGCAGGTGTCCGGGCGCTGGCCTCCCCGAGAAGAGCGCTTCCCCTCTCTCGGCCACGACTCTAAGCCCCGTGAACTGCCTGACGGTTTGTGAGCGTGGCAGTTCTATCAGGCTGGTTTCAGAGTCTTCCTTCAACGCGTCAGAGCTGCTGCCCCTTCCCAGCGAGCTCACTCCTAACGCCCTCAGCACAGGGGTGTGACAGCACGGCAGATGCAACGTCTTAGCCTGGCCAGGAAGGGATTGCTTCAGCCTAAAGACGGGGTCCTGGTGAAAGAGCGCTGGCAAAACTCACCAACAAAAATAATCTGAAATGGAATTTAACTAAGAACCCCAGACTTTTTCACTAGTAATGTCAATATTGGCTTCTTTCATGTAGCCAGTAACACAATTTCCTACCAATCCCAAAAACATTTCTTATTCTTATCTACAAACTGTCACAATTTACTTCAGTTGTAATGATACAACTCACATTTTTTGCTTCATTTGAAGACTTCACCTAAAGGCAGTTAAGATTCACGGTTACGTACTCATTTACTGGAGGGGCCACAAATCCAGCCTATACCTCTCCACTTTTTACAAATTCCACAAGCCCCTGAGCTGCAGTTTTCTTTCACAGCACAGCTCACTTCCATATCCAGACATTTTCTTTTTTTCACGTCTCAGGTAAGACATTAATATAATTTATTTTAGATATATTACCTAGCCACATATAATCACTAGCACTGAAACACTAAAAACCATGAGTCAGGATCACAAGGTTAAAAATGCTGAAAGTTGGATTCTTTTCAGTTGCTCTTTTTGAGCTTTGCAGGGTAACACAGAACTTGCTGTACGATTATTTGCTGTACGATTATGTGTGTCAGACCATTCAATCAAAAAGGAAACTGAAATTTTCACGTATGCCCAGCACTAGAAGCTTGGGTTAGCTAAAAACTAACAAGTATCCTATGGCTCATGTTGGAAATACTGTAGAAAATTATCCACAAAGTGTTAAAAAGTTGAAAGTGATTCTTTCCACAGAAAGCGTTAAGAAAATTAATGTAAAAATTCCTGGAAGGGAATTCACTCCTCGTTATTAGATTCTGTTACTAATATACGACAGATCTATGGAAAGCTTACGAAATTTTCCATTATTTTTTCCAAACAGGCCACAAAATCAAAGTCTTGCTAGAACAGATTTTTAAACAAGGTGACGAGTTTTTTCTAGCTCTGACTCGACACTGTTCACACAGAGGGAGTGAAGAAGGCATTTAAGATTGTGATGTCCAGTTTTCTTTCTGCATCAGAGGTTTCCACATCCCATTAACAAGTTTTGAGGAACCTAATCTGGAAGTCTCACAGACTATACGTGTCCCCAGACAGTAAATAATACACAGCATGAAAGGAAATGATAGTTATCCAGGCTTCACACACTGTAAAAATTAAGTTCCTCCAAGCACATAATTATTGGAAAGGCTGAGATTAAACCTTACAAATGGTCACTCCTCCAAATCTTATCTCCTCTGGGGGAATAACCTTTAAATCAATGCAAGTAGGGCCAGCTCTGTTCTGAGAGGGGTCCCACAAGCCCTCAAGCACTGCATGGCTAAACCCAGGTGTAAAAATAAACTCGTCATAAGTAAACACCAGGATGCCTCTGCTTCCCATCCTCAGCACCTCACCTAACCTGAGCAGCCCCCTGCTCCCACCACGACTGCTCCCTGGGCTCACACTGCTGCCTACCCCGCCTTGCTTTGGCACTCTGGGCAGACGCTGAGCCCCCCCCTCCCCGGCGATCCCTTGCTCACCCAGGCTCTAGCACAAGCTGTACACAGCCCGCTGCCTGCCATCCAGAGGCTTTGCTGGGTGTTACTCTCCTCCGTGATTGTAGCCGAACCTGCTTGAGTTTGCTGTGGTCTCTGATCCGGCACAGGGATGAGGACAGGGTGACTGAGGGACACCGAGTGCAGGGAGGGGAGCAGACAGGGGAGAAGATGCGATTACCCACACTCACTGGCTCCTGCTCTCATTCAATTGCTAAAGGTAGATTTCAAAAGACTGCAAGCAAACAACAAAAGAAAAAAATGCCATTCCAGGGCAGCCTAATAAAAGCAGAGGAAGTTTCACCTGAGAAAGGTTTTTGAGATTGCAATTTTTACATAGATCACATGGAAACAAACTGAAATAAACAGGATAAAAAAAAAAAATACAGCTGTGTCTGAGCCTGTTCAATGCTTGTGGGCTGGGGCTTGTCCAGGCCTGTGCAGCACAGGGACTCAGAAGAACAGCAGTCACTGTGGCCATGACTATCAAGCCAGAATCATGTTTGTCTTTTATGCTAACATACAAAGATAAACCCCAAACCCAAACTATTAGAATAGCAATATTTTGGGCCTGATGGTTCTCGCGTATTGGTTTTGCACAAGTTAACTCAGAAGAAGCTCTACGAGCCCAGAACTGCACCAGGACAAGGAGGCAGAGAAGCAGCTGCTAGTAAAATGATGTGCAATAAAGCATCGTCTGCATTTGACTTTGCAGGTAATTATCAAAGTCACACACATACCTTGCAGGTTAACTCTGGAGACAGGTGGCTGACTTGTTGCTGGAGATCTCCTAAGAGGAATAAAGAATACTCTATAAATAGGTATTATTTGATAATTTCAAACCCCGTTGGCAGTCCAAACTGCCAACTCCCACAGTTAAAAATCCTTCTTCATGCTCACAAAGAAGCCCAAATCACTTTAAAATTATCTGGCAGTTAATAAGCACTATCAATAGATCTGTTAGGAAACCCCAAAGATCTATGTCCCCTGGCTAGGCACACACACATGCTGGAAAGAAGGTATACCAGGACAGACGTGCCATCATCCCACACCGCCTTTGCACCTTTCTGCTCAAAACATGCCTGGAAGTCAGCAAGGGCTGGTCTCTGTGGCTGAAGTGGTCAGTGGCTCCCCCAGAATTTTCTCCCAAAAAGCTTTTCCTGACAAGGTCTGGACTGGACCCTGAAGTCATGTCAAATGCTACACCCACATGCAAGGCTGTAAGGTGAGAAACATTTGGCTTTAAACCCCACAGTTTGAATCGCATCTGGAAGCAAGTAAGAAGAGGCTGCAGTCACTAGTGTAAGCTCTGAAAGAGCTGAAGGACATTTTTTTGACTAGGAGCAACAATTTCATTAGAAAAATCTGGATTTCGGAAGGACCAAAAGCTATTTGAAAAACTGGTTCAAGTCAAGCAAACAGGGTCTGACTGGAAAAAGGGTGCAGTATTTCTCCAAATGCCAAAATATTTTACTGCGAGATTTGCCAAATAAAACTGTTAAATTTTCAACCTGAAACCATAATTCACTTGGGAAAAAAAGAGACTTCTTTTTTAAAGAAGTTAAAAAGAGTTGACACCAAAATGAAGATACTTCATTTTGGACTGAACACAGTATTTCAGGCTGACCAAAACCAAAACTTTGGGCTTTTACTTCCCTAAGAAGTTACTGATACATCTTAACTGAAGCCAGATTCCCCCACATTCTCTCTTAGCCAACCTCCTAACCCCATTTTTTTTGAGTCAGCCACTGAACTGAAACATCCATTATTTTCCAGCTCTGCTTTGAAGCTAAAATCAAAGCAAGTGAGCAGCTCAATTCTGCTTCAATTGTAGCTTCAGGGAGTTCTTCAGAAGTGCTCCAGGAAGGCTTCGCTAACCGGGTAAGGTCTACAGTCCTGCTTCAAACCCTCAGCCCCAGCCTCCTGATCTGCCGGCAGCACGTGGGCCAGTGGGGCCCCAACGCCTGCTCCTCAGCAGCACGCTCCCCTGGGTACAGGCTCCCCTTGCCGGCTGGGATTTCAAAGGCTCGGCTTTTCTGGAGGGAGCTGCAGGACTCAGATTCTTCGAAGGGTTCAGCCCGTGTTGGATACCGACCTCTCCAAAAATCTGCCCCAACCTGCCTCTACTGAGCCTTTGAAAAGCCAAATCTTGAAATCTCTCAAAAACAGAAACTCCCCAATAGGGACACCACGCCGCGGCTGCAGTGCTTCCAGTATCTGGGGAGACGTGCTCCAGGTATCTCCAAACCCTGCACCGAATTGCACAGACATGCCTTTTGGGGGGTGGGGGGGTGGAGAGGGATGAACTAGTATTCAGTAGGGTATTCCCCGCTGCAGAGCCTGAAAAGGGAACGGCACTGCTCACGGCATCCTTGAATTACATCCTGGCTGTGCCCATCCTGGTTTCTGTGGCAGCCAGGGTGCATGCAGCAGAGACCCAGAGATCTGCGTTTCGACTCTTAGACACTCAAGTGTACATGGCTCGCACTTCCCGCTCCTTCTCTCTTGCCGACGGGCATGAAGAGGAGCAGGCGCCGGATGCTGACCGTGTCCTGGGCTGTGGCTGCCAAACTCAGGCACTCCAAAACCATTAATCATACCCTCCTCTTTTCCAATCAGGAAACTGCCTTAAAATCCCTGACGTTAAAGTCCAAAAAATATGACTTCTAGTTGTTTTTTTTTCCTCCAGCCCTTAACATTCATATTTTCCAGCATTTCTGTAAATACGTGGGACAGCATCCTCTTTTTCTTTCTTGGGCCAGGAGGGGTGGAAGAGGAGTAAAAAAAAGAAGGGAGAGGAGGGGCTAAAGAAAAGATGAGATTCTCATGATCCCCAGAGCACAAGTTTAAGTAAAAAACCACATATCATGAGACATATGATAAAATCATGAGCTGGCGGCACGGCTGTAACCCAGCAGAGCTGCTTGGAAACTGTGCAGAAAGCTCCGCAGCGCCTGGAAGCACATTCTGCCACGGACTTGGATGTTTGGTATATAATGGCTTAAACATTCAACAACTTTTACTTTGGCTGGGCAAATGACTTTATACCTCAATCAAATCTGGGAATGTTTTCAAAAGGACACTACAAGATGCCTGTGTGTCCTACAGGTTACACCCTCGCTTCCTTCCAGCCCCGTCCTATTTCAGATTCCTCATTAGGAACTGCTGAAACGCTCGAGCTGTTCAAAAAAGCAGAACTTAAAAAAAAAAAAGGAATTTATTTCAGCCATCTGTTTTTCTATTAACCTCCATCTTGGAATGCGGCGGTTCCTTCCCATCAAAATTTGCGAACGGAAATCAATGGGAGGAAAACCTCACGCCTGGATAAATGCTGGGCTTTGTGTAAAATACAAGAATTGCACGGGAAGGCAGAAAGCAGAGTCCACGGTGGGTGCCCAGGTGATGCCACTCACGTGTGCAGCAGCATGGTGTCCCACTGGGCTGCGTTTTCGCACCTCACCCTTCGCTCCGGGAGCCAGAGGGACGCTTCGAGCAAGCAGTGCCTGCCAGTCCCAGGATGGGATGGGTGGGTGCGTAACTGACATCGCCAGGAACAAACGATGCTGGTTTCATGTAAAACAGCTCTCTTGGGGCAAAACAGGCCAGCAAATGACCATGACTTGCTCCTTATAAATAGCTAAGGGGAAACGGTGGTTCCCGACAAAGGCATAAAAAGGCGTTTGTTTGGCTTCTCCTGTTCAGCAGGTATGAAAAACAACATCCTCCTCTTAAGTTCAGTGCATCGCCTTCCTCATTCAGTGCAATTACAGCGTCAAATGAAGTGACATGGGATCCCCGGCCTGCGGAGAGCACAGGCCAGTTCTTTGGGCAGCCCCCCAGAGCCAAGCTGCAGGACGCTGCTGCCTGCCCTGCTGGGGAAATCCTCACCATCCCCACATCCTCCTGCTTGGACATTCCCTCCGTTGGCCGTGACCACCTCTCTTGTGAAACCACGGTGGAAATGGAGGGCAGCACCATGGCTCGACTGTGACACCTCCGTTCCGAGCTGGGCACCTAACAAACACTTGGGATAGCCAACATGGTGAAGCGTGGCAGATGCCACATCACACACCCCCAACATACCCAGAAATGCATGACATCCCCTTTCCCAAGCAGAAATACATCGCTCCCTCTTCAAGCTCGTCATGCTTTTCCAAATGTCTCCAGCCAGGTACCATCATTGAGCACCGTGAGAGCCTCTCTCGGGGGTGTAGGGGCACAAGATAAAGAGTGAAGAAGGGGAAATGGTGGGTCGGTGGCCACCAGGAAGGCGCGTCTCTTCCCCGAAGGGGAAAAGATGATGGCGGGGGCCCGGCCGTGCGGGCTGCGCTCTGGCGCCCCCTGGCGTCCCGCGCAAAAACCAGAGTGGGCCACAGGCAGCGCCATGATAGCCCCGAGGCCGGTGGGGTCCCAGCAGGGACCCCTCCAGCCCCTTGCTGGACGTGTGAACCGTTTAAAGGGTCAAAAAACCGACGGGCTTACTTGTTGGATGTGCCATGCAAATTGGTCAGGAGCGTGAAGTTGTTCCTCACGCTTCGTAGGCTCGCCAGCACCTACGAGGGAGGCAAAAGCAGGAGAGGTTATCTTCTCTGCTTCAGGTTTTTTGGGTTGGGGGGGAGGGGGTTGCGTTTGTTTTAATGTGGCTGGCAACTCACCTGGGCGAAAGGTGTGACAATCAGGTCGTCCCCGTGCCTAAGGAGAAATGGAGAAAAATATGTAAATTTACCTCAAATGGGGCATCGTTCACCCCAGAGAAAGAGCGTTTTACAGAGGGAGGTTTCCCCAGGTAGCACCCACCACAAAAAACCCCAACATTAACCCATGCAGCGTTTATTCAACACTATAGAAAACCTTGTTCCTAATGGAAAGGTCTCGCAGCTTATATCCAAAACAACCTGATTGTTCAGATTGGTAACGCCAGGCAATAAAAGCCAGGAAATTCAAAAGTTAAGGCACCACGGTGGAAAAAAAACAAACCATAATGGTGTGGGGAAAGGTCAGCTTTGAATTTCCTGGCTTTTGTTGATCTCTGTCACAGTCTTTAATGTTATTCAGACGCTGGGTTTTATCCGGCTGTTTTCATCATGGAAGATTTCAGCAGAAGTTCTGAGAAAAATACATCGCCACCGTCAATATGAGGGTTTTTTTTGCCGATATTGTATAAAACACTCACGCGTATCTGAAAAATCCAACACGATTTACCTTACTGAGACATGGCAGGGTAGTGCTATTGCTGTGTAGCACAGAACCGACAGCAGCCAGAAAGCAAGGCAACCCAGCGTGGTTGCTAGTGGGTTCCTATGGGTTGGGTTTTTTCTGTGTTTGGGTGTTTTCTATGATGTGCACCTCATATGCTGAGCAAGGGCAGGAGAGCAGGCGTGGCTGCAGGCAGGAGAGAGCAGGCATGGGCCCCAGATCAGCGCTGGACCACTTCAAAGGGGTATTTCTCCTGCCAGAGAGCACGTCCGCTTGTCCAGACTCGGGTATCAGTTCTGCTAAGTCTATGTTTTAATTGAAGTTGTCTCAACACTGATGTCAAAACCAGGTCAGCATGGAGATGGCAGCACCCCGAGTGCCACAGGAGCCTTGATGCCTGCAGTAAATGGACATGTCCAACCGCAGGCAGCTCTGAAGCTGGGTGGTGGGCACAGTGGGATGGGGCTCTCCCTGCCCCAGCACAGAGGTCTCCTCCAGCTCACTGCTGGGAACATGGGGCAATTGTTAAAAATCCACCATTTACACAAAACATGGTATATGCATCATTTGGAACGGTTATTTTGTCTCTCATAAATATTTACTTAATGTTAACTAACAGAGAGGGATGTTCTCTTTCAGAAGAATACTCCTCGTGGATCTTGCTAATATTTAGATTTCTATTTCATGACAAAACTTGTAGGGCTTTTATAACAGTTCAACTTTTTTATAGCTTAATGGTCACTTTAAACTGTGCCTTTTAAAATAAATCCAGGACACTCATTTAAGCTCCACGCTCCGTGTTACATTGATCCTCTCAAGCTCAACCATCTGTCTCGGGCTTTCTGCTGTATTTTCCTCTCAGTTCCAGCGAACAACCCATGACAGAAAACAGGATGGAGAAGAGTAATACTGTAAATACAAGTACAATCATATTTCTATTGGCTAACAGAATATTGCCTACTTAAGACAAAGCAGAGTTGATGTTAATGGGGCTCTGAGAACACGTGGTGAGAGTATAATGGAGAAAAGAGGGCAAGCAAGCCGAGTGCTGGAGCAACAAGGTTCTCCTGCCTGCAGGTCCAGAGGGGATGGGGCAGCTGGCAGCGGTTCTGCCCTGAGCACAGCCCAGGCTTCACCCTGCAGTTAGCTGCAAGTGCTTCAGGCCCCAAACACCAATTCCCACGTGAAGAATTAGTACTAAGAAAGGTAAAATGCAAGATTTCTCTACTTTTTCAGGATATGGATTTGAAAGCTCTCCTGCTAAACTATGGAGAAAGGGGGAATATTTCAAGAATGAGATGAGGGAAGTCAGGCCTTGGCAGACCATAAAAGCACCCGTTTTGGGCACTCGAGCTATGAAATGTGAGTACCACCCAAAAGCACCTCTTAACAGAGCTCTGAGGATTATGGGAGGCTGTGCAAAGCCTTTAGTTACTGCAAAATATGACATGAGCTGAATTTATGCTTACTGTTCACTTGGGAGAGAAGAGTTCCTGGACATCGTCTTTGGTGATAAGTCATAGTCGCTGTCGGATCTGTACAGGAACGACTCCCTGCGCTGGCTGTGGCCTGGGAATGTCGTGTGCAATACGAGTCCTGACGAGGAGCTGGCCTGCGGGTCCAGCGGGCTGCGACCTGGGGACGGGCCATTTTCCACATCAAAGCTGTGAACAAAACACATACTATGTGTCACACGCATCTGCCAAAAGATGTTTTTTGGTGCATGCGTCACATTTGAATTGCCCATACCGTGTCATCTGCTCAGTACAGGAATGGCAGGGTTACATTTACTGGAGCCTCTCACTGGCATATTTCTATCGCATGCAAGCAGGACTCCACATTACGATAAAACATTTACCCCCGAGGCTTCTTTCCTGACTACATCTGCTCAGTCTTCCTTCAGCCTGAATTTCTCTGAGCTCAGCACAGCTCCTGTCACTCTCAGCACAAACACGCGTCAGCTAAACACCATCACCAAGCTCTGCAGCTCTTCCCACACCACCCCCATGGCCGCTGTGTTTGCACAAGCCAGGGGGTTCGATTTGCCAAACCTCACTCCTTACAAGCATAACGGGGACTAAAGCTACGACACGTCCCATCCTCCAGCCAAGCCCTGTCCCCACCCGTTCTGGAAGCAAACTTTTGAAATCCTGCAAGATTTGGGAAGAACTCGGCAGTTGCACAAGTTGGACACCCAGGTCTCTTTTCAGCCATAGTTCATGTCTCAGCCATCCGAGATATTAGTTCAGTGAATTTCAAACAGCTGGGCTGCAAGATTGTTTAAAAAAATTGTAAAAAGCCCCAAACCTTCTGTCACCGTTTCCATTATACACCCACTTTCTTACGGTTTCATAACTTGGCTGCTGCAACTTGTTGCTGAAGTCACCCTGGACACTTTAGCAAGTGACACCCCTCGTAAACCCTGAAAATAAGCAGGTTGGCCTCCTTCGCTTGGGCATTTGGATCTGATATAAATACCATATGTGTGACCACGTTCCAGCTAAGCCAAGTGAAGTATGGCTGCGTTCAGTATGAATTCTCTTGCCTTTGGAAGTCTGAGGCTTCACCTCACTTGCAGTGGGAGCCGAGTCCTCACTCCTGCCAGGGCACATGCCTCTCCCTGTTCCCGATGTTCTCCCAATTTATTGCGCCTGATGACGGCTCATAACTGCACCACCGAGCTGGGTATCCACTTGCACCATGGCCACAGCCCTGGCGTGGCCGCTCCTGATGCAAGCTGCTTCCTGGTGCTTCTGACTTCCTACACCAACTGCTTTGTATGAACAACAACTGATGAATTATTGAACAATTTCTCAAATATCAGTGATAATACATTGCATGTGAGGGATTGCATACTTTGCTTGAGCAGTTATATTTATAACATAAATATTTATTTACAGTTGTGTATGTGCTTGGGAGGGAGTGGGTGCTCAGACAGTTATTTCTGATGTCTCCAGAAACAACTTACTGGGGTGGAGCAATAAAAGACTAGGTCAGTTATTCTGGCAGTTATTCTGTTCCTCATGGCTACAGATAGAGGGTAAGTACTTTGGTCTCGCACTATTTGGTCCCACATACGGTTCCTCAAGAATTAAAAAGGGCATGGGAACATGCATTTAATTAATGCAATTAAAAATATGCCTAAGCACTAGTGCAAAGATTTTTAGATTCTTTGGAACTCCGAAGGCAGGGCACCAGTATAAAACAGTACTCACTGAAAGAGAGTCCAACGTCTACCCTGCCTCACTGTAGCATTTACTTACCCAACTGTGTAAGTACATCTTGAAACTGCTAATTGCTCAATCATTACTTTTTTCTTTTACTCTTTATTATCTGCTCTTCCATCAATGACAGCTTCAGTACACTTTATTTGTAGCCACAAAGTAATCAACAGAAGAAACCCAGCTCTGTAACTATGGCATCTACAAACAACAGCCAGCTGATAATCCATACCTATTCAGAAAGTAAACTCTGATTACTCAAAACATTTTATTGCAAAACCTTCAATCAAGAATATCTAGTTTAGACACAAATAGAAATACAGCAATGAACTAAATCTGAGCATTTAGCTGAGCAGAGAGCTTCTTCAGGCTGTGTGAGACTACCTGCTGCTTGCTGGTACACATTAGCAATTGGTTTGGGAGCAAAAGTTAACGCACAAGGTTTAAAATGTGTGTAAGAGGCAAAGGGAGGGAGGCAGGGGCAAGGCTGATGAGGGGATCTTTTGCAAAGACTACTCAGTAGCAAAGAAGGACATTTAGTAAGAGGGGAACTATCCACCAAGGACCTGGGTTTGCATGGCTTACTGTAGCACGGCTTCTATGCCTTGAGGAAGGTGGAAGATACTCAAATCCCCTTCCCTTTCCCTCTTTTAACACACAACCCCCACCCCCCCCCTCTCTGCTAGCCTAGGCCCATTCTGAGTCACTCCTACAGAAATTCCCACCTAAATCCCAGGGATCTGCAATACCTTCAGAGGATGTGAACAGTTTTCATAGCTGGAGGTGTAAGAAGGACCCTGGTGCTCTGTGACCTGGGTAAAGGTGGAGGTTAAACCTTGGCAAAGGCAGAGCTTCCCAGGAAACAGTTTGCCTGAGCCGTGGAAGTTTTCCAGATTTCTACAGCACTTGGGGCTCACTCTGGGATGAGACAGAAAGAAGCCCAGCACAGTTGACGACCAGCTCAAGGTGCCGTGGCTGCTTCCAGCCACGCTGCATGCATGCAGCTGGCTACTGGCTGCACGCTGCCCATGCTCCCTGTGCCAGAGCCTGGGACGCCGCAGCACGGATCACGCAGTTAATCCAGCCGGAAAGGCATTTTTATTTCTTTCCGCAAGTTCAGCTTGTGGCCATGCCGGCCCCCTCATCTGGTTCCCCTTCCTTGGGCCTGAGCCAGCACTCAGCCAACCACATCCTCAGGCATGAAGTTAACAGAAAATTCCCCTCTCAAAAGTGAAGGCTAACCAGGGGTTTGTAGTTACCTCTACCCAGAGTGTCCTATTCTGTGCAGGTGAACAGGCAGTCCCAGCGGCACAGCTGGGTGGGCAACGTCTTCACTGGGATGGCCAAAACCCAGGTCTTAATTCTCTGCTGCTGTGGCTTTTTAATAGTCACAAGAAGCAAAATACAGGAAAAGACTTCCCCCCGATGACCCAACATTAGGAGAACGTGGCCTGAGAGATGTAGAGCAAGAGCTTAACCTTGTGTTTTTCAGATCTTTGCTGCACATCAAGTTCACCAGTTGCTCTTGGTTTGTACAACAGCCCATCTGGAATTGTATCCTGATGCAAAAAACACCTCCCAAACAACCATTTGCTGAGATTGGTAAGAATTGCAATTAGATTGTAAAGTTGCCCTCTCAGAGCTGCATTTTCCACTAAATTTTTTCACTAGAAGTTAACTGATGAGTTCTGCTGGAAAAACTTAATCATCAGTGTGGCACCATGTTCAGAATACTCTGCAGATTTTAAGGGTCCTCTCCAAAGTTTGCAGCCCAGGGTCTTTGCGTAAGTGGAAAATGTAGCTGTGTTTGTCTAGTTAAAAATAGGGATGGCAACAAAGCACCACTACAACAGGCCAGAGAAAAAACAAAAAGATAAAATTTGCTTTGCAGTTTATCTTCAAGCAATGGCACTTGCAGTCAAGACACCCCATTTGTGAAGTAACGTTGGCACAGAAGCACCAAAAGAAGTGGCAGCAAGACTCAGAGGTAAAAAGGTAAAAAAAAAAAAAAATAAAATCAGCAAACGCTTGATCTGTTATTCTACAGTTGCTCCTGACCCCATGTCCGTACCAAGGGATGGTGGATGAAATGTCTGTGGCCCGAAGCCCAGTCACCCACCAATATGTGCTGCATCTTTCCCTTACCTCCTGTGCCAACCCCACGGGCTCTTCCGCACAAGCACATGGATCCCCAGCACGCTCAGGGTTAAGTGGGCACTGTTGAGACTTAAAATGGCATTACCTAAACACACAGGTCACAAACCTGGTATCTAAGGTCCCTATAAATCATCCAAGATAAGTCCCCCACAGTACAGCTCCTCTCTAAAAAGCCTGCCTTGCTCCGGTGCACCGAGCTGACACCATTCCCCACCTGCCTCCCACTTACATTATCAGGTTTATTCAGCCAACATTTCCAAGCACTGTGACAGTCTCAGGGGGTGACGGCATGTCTGGAAGCCTCCCAGAGCTTCCGAGGAGCGAAGCCCACTTGCTCAAGAGCCAAGAACTGGCTCCACGGGAGTAAAGGTGACAGCATCTGTTTGGGGTGGGCATTTGTTAACCACCGATACAAATCCGCGGTGCAATCCCTATGCCAGAAGATAACTGCAAATCAAAGACTTGACTGACAGACAAAACCAAGTCTCCTGAGGCCCTTCTGTTTTTAACGGTGGATTCACAAATGTGCAATTCATGAGCGTGGCTGAGCGGCACCCCGAGGTGAGCATGTTCTCAGCATTACTGACCACCACCAGATGAAGAGAGGAATCCAGTGGACAAAGAAAGCCACAAATCCCAGTGCCAGCCAAAGGGAACTGCAGACCCACCAAGCAAAATCCAACCTGGCAAAGGGTGCAACGGCAGGGGCAGTGCCGCAGCCCAGCAAGTCTCCACTCTCAGCACTGCAGAGCTGTGCAGGAAGGTGGCCTGTCCCCTGGCTTTCTCTCCAGAGCCAGGCTACAGTTAAACTCAACATCAGGCTCTCTGCTTTCTCAGCTGGAGGAGAGGAAAGCTGGTGGTGGTGGAGGAGAGGAGGTGGCAGGGTCAGCAGCAGGAGGAGCAGGGTGGCCGCAGAGCAGTGCTCAGCCGGGAGGTCAGTGTGAGCTATGGGGCAGCCGCAGCTCCATCTCCTTTGTCGCTCTGCATTTTTTAATAAACTAGGATCCCAATAAAGTGAAGAGCAGAGAAGAAGACAGCAGGTGGCAGGAGTCAGCCATAGCTCGCTCCGACAAGCAGCTAAGGGGGCACTTGCATTGGACCTGCGGAAAGATGTGACTGTAACACGGTAACGAAGGGAGGAAATACGCAATGGCAAGCCAGGAGAAATCATGCTCAAACTGTAAAACACAATGAGGTTTCATGAGTCATTCTGCAAAACCAAGAAAATTAATAAAAGCAACCCCCTGCTGTCCAAATTCTGCAGCTTTACAGTAATGACTACAATTTCTCTACGTTAAAAACTACTGCAGTCCTTTATCACAGGGAGAAAAGTCCAACCAAACCTCTGCAGGCAGAGGGATCCCTGCTGGGGGACTCCCCATCGCCCTCTAGCCCTCTTTGCCCCCACGCAGCGATGGGGCCAGCTCCCTGCAGTGTGCATGAGGACTTGTTCCCATCAAACCAGTCCTAAATCAGCCCTGCTCCTACCCACAGCACAGCACCACCCTCACATGAAAACATGGCAACTGCCAAGGTGTCCTGACAGAAGATGCTGCCTCCAACTCATCCAACAATTCAGGCTTTTGAGCTCTTTGATCTCCCTCTGCAAGGGGGCCTGGGCACAAAACTTTTGGTGGAGTAGCAATAAGGAAGAGACAGCATCACGAACGCACCATCACTGGATTAGCATTGCCTGCCAGCAGCCTTGGAACATGGTAAGATTTGGCATAAAAACTGAAAAATGGGATTGTGCCACAGTTTTTATGTAATTCAGAGTCACTGCAAGTCAAATGGTTACCATGCGAGCTAAGCAGCCCCACAGTTTGTTTCTAGATCTGTAACATAAAACACAAGGATAGACACATTTAAGTCTATCAAACTAGTCAGGCTTGTGTATTGTTTATGTTACGAATTTACACTTTTCCTGAGGATGACAGCACTGACTCGACAAGAGGGCTTACCATCTGCTTTGCCTTCCCAGCCTCATTCCTGAGGGCACTACTCCTGATCTTCTAACTACAGTACCACCTCTACTACGCTATCAAATATGTTTCCAAAATACAGTATTTCAGGAAGTTTGGGCAGACTCTGCTAATTATAAAGATCCTCTCGCAATCATTAGAGATCTATTTCTCACCAAGACATTCAGCTGGATTTTTAACACCATTAGCAATGAAAAATGCTGTTTCTTACACCTCCAGATCTGTACAGGCACGACTGCTTCTCAGTGCTCTCTAATCTGGTGCACCTGTTTCCCATTATCAGAACAGCTTGCTGTTTTTTCTCAATAATCTTCCACGTGAAAAGGTCTGTGCTTGGAACCATCAGCACTTAATGAGACGGGATCAGACACTCAGCGGGCATGCCGGAGCTGAGCACACCAATGCAGATGCCCTAGCACGGGCACGAGGCTCCACACGGCTGGCCGCTCTCAGCGCCGCAGGTAGTAGTGCCTTTTTTTCCCTCCTGACCTTCTCCCACCAAGGGGAAAACCTTGTTGTTCTCAGGGACCTCTCAAAAGTGTTCAAATCCCTCTGTCAGGTTTGTCCCTCATGTGGCTAAACACCCATGCCCCCCAAAATAAGGCCACCAAACTCCATTCAGTCCCGTCCCCCCCCCAGCACCGCATATCACAGCTGCCTTGCACAGCAAACCCAGCAGCACTTACTTCAGTGTTTGTCATGTAAACTGTCATCTGCTGCTAAACATGTTATTAAGCCTCTGCGTGTATCGCAAAGCAAAAATACATGTTTATTTGACTTTCCTGTCTCTGAATATAGAAGTTCACTCTTCCTAGCAGCTCTCAATGGGTACAATGGAGGCAGAATAACCAGAGCCCCTGCCATTGCCCGCAGCCTGTCTGGATGGGGCCAGGAATTA